ACTTCCTGTAAGTGGTTTCATATGCTAGTGACCAGGATGATCTTCTCTGCAGTTCAGTATGAAAGAAAAAAACTATGCTAACTGATCTGAAGAACTTATTAAACATTCTGGCGAATGTCACAATCTCAATTTAGATTGACATAAAATTATTCCTATTTATATATTCTAACGATTTGCAGACCATATAGCGTGGAATTTATAACGTGAATTGTGTAACCTTTTCATTGAATTAAATCATAATGGCAGAAACATTATGGACAATATATTTAACTGTACTGCCGCTGAAACATAGCGATATTGAATTTATTTCAAATCAGATCTGTGGCATCTCATATTAATCTTACATATGCATTTGCATTTGCTCCTTATTTTTAATTTAAAAGACGGTTTAAAAGAATATACATATATGAAAACTTATGCAATTGAATTTTTAAAAAAACATTTATATTTCTTGCCATAAAAAGATTTTTTAAAAACCCCGATCTTATACCTATGTAAAGTTGCACTTTCATTTCTACATTTCAATTTGAGATGGTTATAATTTATAACATGATTTCAAAAAAGAGATAAAAAATTTAACTATTAATGTTATCATTTTTAAATATTTAGACATTTTATATTAATTTTCTTTGTTTGATTAACAACTAAATGTCAAAATTTAATTTTAATTAGCAAATTCAGATCTAGACATAGTTACAGTTTACACCTTACACAGATAAGCTTAGAGTGAGAACGGTCACCTTCCAAGCAAAACATGCATCTTACTAAACAGAACATAACATGACATGATGTTTATCATTGAATTCAAACCTGTCTTCTTCTTTCTCGTGCCTTATCCTTTCATGACATTGGCGACCATCGACCTCCACAAAACCCGATCTGTAGCACTTTTTTTCCTTTTTCTTTAGAAATTGTCCAGGACTCAGAGCCGTAAGTTAGCACAGGAAAAATGTAACACCCTAACAGTTTTAATTTTGTTGATATACTGATTTTACTGTTGGTGAGGATGTTTTTCATTCTAGAATATGCATCTTTCGCCATAGCTATCCTTCTTTTGATATCCAGTCCAAACCAGTCCAAAAGAGTAAACATCAACTGAAGATAATTCCGGACAGACTTGTGGTTTTTTATATAATGACATTTTGACGTCCAATGTTTTGTATTAGCTTTCATAGTTACACAGGTACATTTACTTTTAATAATTTAATTAATTTTTGTTACTGACATGACGTAAAATAATAAATTTGTATTTTTTCATTATATCTGAGTTACCAACCAAGCTAAATTAAAATAATCATTTCCCTATCGATTTATAAATTTTATTTTTAACTCTAGCGACTGCATATATTTCGCAGGGATAGACGCGCTGTAAATGAAATAACGATTTTTGTTATATCGTTAACAAAATTTAGTATTGTCTGTTATTAAAATGCATTTTAAATTAATTAAACAATACAGTTTACTTCGGCAATATCATTTTCTTATCACTTTTTTTAAATCGAGACATCAAAAATTGTTATTTTCAATCAAACCGCTATTTGCAACTGTTAATAAATCAAGCTTATCGAGTTTTGTTTTGAAATTACAACGTTGCAAAGCGCATCACTACATAATTCGTCATTTTTCAATTTTTAACTTGTTTTTTAAAACCGCAAATAAATTAGCAAGTCATAACTAGCCCTTGTGGCGCAACCGGTTAGCGCGTTCGGCTGTTAACCGAAAGGTTGGTGGTTCGAATCCACCCAGGGGCGTCGTTGCTTTTTACATTTTTATTCAATTTTTTAATTGCGTGTGTACGGCTGACGAATGGAGGATCTGACGACCCTACAAACCGACATTTTCAATGCAGTCATTCGATGAAGGAAATTGTACGTACTACAAAATTCTTGTTTTCTTTGTGTAAGCACAATGTTTTATTTATTGATGTATATGATATATATTGTTCACCACATTATATTCTTAAATCGAAATTCAGTTTTACGATTTGTTATAAGATGCTGTCTTTCATTTGTCTAGATAAACTAAATTTGCTAATGTTGATTCAGAATTATTTTCATCACCATTGATTCAAGAATCCAATTATAAGCCATGGCTTTGCTGTTGTTTATGATTGAGTTTTCTGTAGGACTAAGGACAAGTAAAATTGCAATTTCAAATAATAAGCAAATTTATTTTAAGATTTTATTTTCAAATTAACATTTTGAAGAAAGGGTTTTACAAAGCAAATAAATACTATTTTAATTTACGTAATGTTCAAAGCAGTTTTACAAGCGCTATTAAATCAATTTTTCCTTTCAATAGCTATGTCTTTCTTGTCTGCAGTTTCAATATTATCTTCAACGTTTTGAAAAGTTTTCTTTTTACGTCTAACGGTTTCACAGACGCATTTTATTTTTTCCACATGTGACTTGCTTGCATTTTTTGCTCCTGATCCTCTATCGGTCAATTCCCCTTTTCTTTTCATTTTTGACTTTTTCCCTTGCGAATCCAATAATTTTTGGCAAAATCAAAAGCTGAATGTTAATTACCAAATTAATAAGGTATTATTGGGTACTCACCATTCTTAATTGAGATTATGTTGAAAAACCATTTATTCTCTATCTAAAATGTTTTAATAAAAGAAAACAAACGAAACACAAACCCTTTGCATGTTATTCTATGATAAACCTCGGAAAAAGCCAAATCCTACAAAACAAGATTTTGGTCGCAATTCCTTGGTACTCCGTTATTACAAAGTGTTCGCAATCAGGACCTAAATAAACGCATTTGCCATTCTCGAACGTTCTCAAAGAATCTCATTTTAAAGACCTTTACATCGTATAGTTGGTTAAAAGTCTTGTTTTATAACGTTTTCCAGCAAACATCATCTGAAATCACTTTTGGCACGACTTTGGTCCGCGAAAATAGGAACAAACAGAAAATTAACTCTAATTTAATCATTTCAAATCTTTTAAATAGTCGTAATTTTTCTGATAATTAAACATCTTCTTTATATATATAAAAGTTTTTATATTGTTTATAATCTATTAAATAAACGTACATTCCTAAATATATTTTTTTTAAATGCCTAAATATTGACAAAAAATAAATTTTCAACCCAATCAAACACAAAAAACAAATAAATTTTATTAATTATTCTATTTAAAAGAAATATATTGCTTCTCTGTGTAACTATATTAATTTTTATTTCTTTCGACATTTAAAGCAATCAATTACAACAACAAAAATAATAATATAGAAAATACAAATTATTATTATTATTACTTTTATTACTAAATATTATTATTACTAATTATTATTATTATTATTATTATTACTAATTATTATTATTATTATTATTATTATTACTAATTATTTCCTCACGTGAATACAAACGCCAGAAATATAAAAACTTGAAATTGAACTTAAATTCAGTCTACAATAACTGTTCGCACTCATTTAAAATATCAGCTGTGGGTTTTTATAACAATTTTAATCTAACTTTGTTTAAAATTTTATGGCCGAAATCTTTTAATGAAAAATTGATTAACGCGGTAATTAGCTCGTCATATAGCATATATTGTGACAGAAACACTACTTAACCGATTTTAAATATATTTTTTACTCTCAAGCACTTGTTGATCAAAGAGCATGAGAGGATCGTACATTATATTTTATATTTTATTTATTTACACTCTAATATATAATTAATAATTTTCGATGGATTCCATTTGGATTTAGTTTTTCGGTAAATAAAAGAATGTTCCCATTATTATTATTATTGTTATTATTAGCCCTTGTCACCGACCGTCTTATGTTCGTTTAATTGGCATATAATTAATAAAAAGGAAACGGTCAAACACACAGCCTAATTTTTGCCATACTAGCGAACATTCGGTGAATTTCTCGGCCCCCCCCCCCTCAAATTTCAAAAATAATTCAACATTTCAACATTTTTCCAATTTTGGCTTTTTAGTCAATGCGGTCTAGATTCGCCACTGTGTAGAAGATAACCTCAAACGTCTTCGACAGAGATTTGTCGATCAGCAGTATATTGTTGGCGATGGCGATAACAAACGTTTGTTTTAAAATGGTCTGCAAGGGCTCTGGTAAATAGTTTTGTTTTGTGTGGTGCATAGTATTTAATACTAGCATTGTCTTTTATTGTATTATTTTTATTATAAACTGTACTGGAAACAATCTATTCTAAAATATAATGTCGCTAACGCTTCCAGGTAAACGTTCTGGTAAAAAAAAGCTTCATTTCAACTCCTATGAGTAATTTAACGTGTAAAAGTTAGACATCGACTGTCATGAAGCATCCATTCATAGTTCTGAACACTGATAATAAATTGATTGCCATGGCTAAATCGACACAATCGTCGGCACCCTACGTCTCGAGAGACGTTGGTGAAAGTGTAACCAAAGTTATTGGATCCTGCACCGCCAAGAATGACAATGCAGACCAATTCTGAATAACTACAACATCCAGCACAGAATCGTTTCACAATAAAAAATGATATTTACTGGTTGTCATCGGAAAGCTAGATTGTAGAACTGTACTAAGCTGAAATACTTGATAATACCTTTCAAATTCAATCGAAGCTTATCCTAACATATCCTAAAACCAAAACCCAGAACTATGCCCAAAAACATATATACAAAATATAAGTATATTATAAATTATATAAGTATATGGTTTAAGTAGATTTACACCATATTTGAGATTTACACACGAACGATTAAAACCATGGATATATTTATTATATATATATATATATATATATATATATATATATATATATATATATATTATAATATTATATCCATGAATAAAACTATGAAAACGCAGTTGTTAAAACTGGCTTTCCATACAGGTGTACACACAATTCAATCACGTGCGATCTAGCGTAATTATTTGTTAAAGCACACCTGTTCATCTTTGTTGGTGATGATGAAGAATTGATGATGTTCATTTTATATGTAATGTAAGGTTGTTGTTGGTTTGATCAAACGAAAAGATGTCTGTAGAACAGCATGTGAATGGTTTGATCGCAAGGTAATTTTATATCGTAACAATATAAATAAGCCATTATAATATTATATTTCATAATAATGTCGTCTTCTCATACCTTGATCAATGATCTGTTGCTAGAATCAAAATAAATTTTTCTATATATTTTCCAAAATTCCATTTGTGTAACAAATGAATTGTTTTGTCACTAATTCGTGTTGTCACTATCATGACATTTTTTATCATATGATTAATCTATCGTATCATTTTTTTATTTCAATACAGAATACACCAATCAAAGCCAACCCATCAACTTTTGATAAACACTTCATCTTTTAATACTAATTTTTTCATTTGTTTTTACATCTGTTTCTCTAACCTTGCTATTTAACCAAAAATATTTTTATGTTCAAGTTTGATAGGCATTCAATAAATATCTTTATTACAACCAGATTAACTGATTTCTTTGTTTATTTATCATTTCCAACTTTTTCAGCATAATTTCATCTTGCATCTTATTCATACATACAGTCATCTACAACATTTTGTGAAACATCTGTAACAGTTTATTTAATAATCACATTTCCACAATAGCACAATCTTGAAGTTATTTGATTCACTGGAAATATTGAAAAACGTTACAAAAATTAATAAGCATATAATTTTGGAAAAGTGTTTAAAAACAAAAAAATTTAAAGCACACTATTTTAACTAAAGCCATTATTCTTATTTTAAAATTGAAGTTTTTTGAAAGAGAATATTTCTGAACCAAGCAAGCAATGGTTGCTCGACATCAGACAGTCTGTTGATGTAGAATGCATGTGTGTGTTGCAAGGTAAATCTTTGAAGAAGAAAAAATTATCCAAGCCAAATTTGTCTGTTCATTTCAATTACTCTGACATTAAAGGTTCCAAATAACTTTTTTCAATTACTTTATTAATTCAACTTTGCAACTTTTTTTGGAGTTTATTATAAATATTAATTTTTTTCCAATGGATTATTTTTGTAATGCAAAACTTTGCTTTAGCTCACATAATGAAGTTCCAAACTGATTCATGCAGCTTGATGGAGAAGTTGAGGACAGCTCTTATAAGGTGGATCAGAACTTTTGATTAATACAAACCACATGCAACTTTCATCATCATCAACGATTTAGTCATTATGCATGTGAAATGTTAACGATTCATTTGAATGTTTGTGTCACTTTACTAAAAAAGAGTTATCTATTTAAATAATGGCCTTATATTATTCATGGGTTTAAATATTCAATGGTTCAATGTAGCATTGAATCAGAAGAGGCAGATGATGAAATATTCAACATGCTGTTCAAAATCCTCCACGAAATGAACAACATAATTGAAATAAGCAGGCAACATGTTCAACTCACTCAGTCACGACAATTTATCTTGGAGGTCGATTTTTTTTAGTTCACACTTTCACAAAAACATCTTGAATAAAAATGTAATTTAATTGATTTAATTGAAAGAAGGTCGACAGCGTTGAAGAAAGTGTACTTAAATTGAACCTAATCATGAACTCTAACAAGTATTTCACAATTAGAACATATATTTCTGTGTTTGTCACAATATTTAAATAATATTTCTAATCACGTTATCACGTTGTTTAATATTCTCATTTATAATTACATGGTATGGTGACTATACTATAGTCACATTGTTTTAATATTTTCTTCAATGGTATTCTTCGTTTTCGTCACAGAGATAAATACACGAAAAAACAGAAGATCTTAATTGAACTGGTTAAGTTAGAAACTACATTAGGGACCTTGCACGGAAATATCATGCAAATCCTTCTCCAGGTATCAGTATCGCTAGCACATTCGACGCTAGCGAAATTCTTACCGTTTTAATGGTGTAATTTTTTTATTTCAACTACCCAGACATTTTTAAATGGAGGTTTTGAATTTTTGAGAAAACTCTCTACATTCACAAAGAATCAACATTTACTAGAGAAAAAGAATGCTACTTACATTAAAAAGGCCAAAACTTTTTTCTCAGACCTAATATCTATCTGTTTGTTGTCAGACGACGTTACAGAAATCATTGTTCAGGTGAAAATTTGAAGATTTGTTGCTGATCAAACGAAACATTATTATGCAAACTCTAAATTATAATGAGATTATTTTGATATTTTAGGAAAAAACCGTGGAGAACTTGTTAGAACTGTGTCATACGTGTTCAGTTGATATTGATAGACATGGTGTTATCTACAAAAATTATTCCGGGCCGCTGAGAAGTGTCCTAGCCGAATTATTGAGATCCCTCTCCACAATTTGTTCACTGGTCAGTGGCGTTGACTCTTTCATAAAGGTCAGGCAGATTTCATTCGTTAATTTTCGAATTTTCTTACTTACTCAAATTATTTTTCTAGTTTTCGTATTTGTATAATAATATTTATTTTTTATTTCAGCGGCACTGCGTTTGTTAGAGGTTCATACTAAATAAGAGATATAAATAAATACAAATAGAAGTAAACGCATAAATGTTCTCATTGAAAACAGAGCAATGGATATGAAATAATGACCAATCTCCTGATGAACCCGTGCTCTAACCACAGAACAAAAATAGAAATTGCAGGCGTCGTTGCTCAGGCAAGCACACCCACCTTATTTATATGCCAACAAATGGAAAGCTATATTGAATGCATTCCTCATATAATCAAGGCTCTAATTGGTATGTTCTTACGTTCAATTTATGTTTTTTTATATATTTTAGATAAACAGCGTAATATAATCTTAAAATTTGACACGATATTTAATTGTACAGCTGTTTTAGTTTGGTATTAAAATTTGTTTAGATTTGCTCATAAAGTCAACTGACCACAATGAGTTTCTGTTGTGTTTGTATGCTTTGGACGTCATATCATCACCATCACTTTCATCTTCGCCAACGTTTTCGTTATCCTATCAATCATCATCTCTCTCTTCCCCATCCTCGTCATCAACTCCGAACACTGAAAATGATGACAACATATTTATCGATTTCATGAGTGATGCGAATGTTGTTGAACTTCTTATCAACCGTTGCCTGGAATACAATCTAGATAAAACCATTTTTGCCAAAGATAAAGTAATCATCTTTTATTTTCATACTTTTATTTTTACTCAGTTAATATTGCTCCGTGTCACTATTTATTTTTGTAAAATTTTTTAACGAACCTCGGGCACTGCACAAGAAGGAGCATCTCATATATTGATTGTGTCAAAGAACTTTCAATTGGAACGTGATCTGCCGTCTGAAACAATGCACTTGTGCAGTTGAACAAATGAGAATAAAATGATCATAGAACATTTTCAAATCAGTTGTGGTTATAAATTTTAAACTAACTTGTTTTATTTTACGTTGCTGTTCATTTAGGTGTTAAACATTCTTACGTCTATATATCCTCGCGTAATTGACCTACACATCGAACAAGAAAAGAACATGAGCCAACTTCTAGTGAACTACTTAAATGACGATCCTCGACCTGATTTAACTGAAATTGAAATGAAAACGTTTGAGAATGTGATAGAAAAAACGGCCAATCTAATTTATGAAATGTGTTGCAAGCGGTTCAAGATGTGTAAGCATTTCCTCCAGCTCAACTGTAAGTTATTTTGGGTATCAATTGTAAAACTAATTAGCCCGGTTAAAACTGTTAATTATTTTTGAATTCAAGGTGTCAATGCTTTGTTGGAAGCAAGCAAGAAACTAACACGAGGCAGACATGATGAGTCGTCACTGAACGCCTGCATGGTAGGTTATTAAACATTACATTGTTGTATCCATTAGAATATGTGATCGTAATAAACTACCATCAATAACACGCTAGAAATTTTTCTTTCTCTTTTATTTGTGTATATACTGGATTGCATGAACTCATGGGCGTAGCCAGGGAGGGGGGGAATTTGGTATTCAAACCCCCTGAAATAAAATAAAATATTTCAAAATTTGATCTGTTTTATATTTGAATTTTCGCTATTTTAAAAAAATTGTTTAAATTTTTTTATATTTCCACTTTTAAATTGACATTCCAAATAATCGAACAATTCCTTATACTTCTTGCGATATATTGGCAACTTTAAAATTTGGTTGCAGTAATATGAATGTAAGGCATGTTCATGATTGAAATTATTGAGCTTCAACGTCGTCCATGTTCACGGCTTTAATGGTAACAACAGTAACATTCGACGCACTCACAGCAAAAGTTCACCACTAATAATAAAATTAATAATGATAATAGTAATAGTGATGTATGACAAACTGATGGCCGCGGGCGGTTGTTATTTTCAAATTCATGGGTACTTGCGTGTATGTGTACATTCTAATGGTAAGAGATGAATGTGTGCGTTATGGAGTAAATTAGCTAGCTCAGGGCGAGAGGTATAAAGTTTGATTTTATTTTTGCAATGGAGGCTAGTTCAATTTTTGAGAAAGCATAAGATGTCTTGTTTGTTTATTTAATCTAGAAAGTATTGCAAAGATTGTTGTCAACGTTTGTGAGAACAAATTTATGGTACATTTTTTATACCAATTTTCTTCAGTTATGCTTAATTTCATTCAAGTATTTTCTGTTTATTTGTAGCCCATTCAATCCATTTGTTTTTATGCATATAATTACAATAGAATTGTGGCCTGAAAGAGTCTTCAGGCATACGAGAAATATGGAAAGCTAGTTTTGCTTCCAAAAAATCATCTTCTAAAGCCGCTTTAGTACGCCCTAGATTTGTGTGATAACATTTTGAAACCATATGTTTACACTCTACTTCAAATTTTGGAAACTTTACCAGTGTCAAGCTACCACACAAGAAAAAACATTTTCTAGCCCTACAAAGCCTTAAACATTTTTAAAGAATCAAAATAAAATATAAAAAAAAAATCCAAGAAACACCACTACCGAAATTATGCTAAATGGACGTTCGCTATAATTTAAATTTAGACGCCAAATTTAGACGCCAAACAGTTTGAACAAAAATTTTACAAAAAAGTTGTATGTTATTTATAATTTAACTTTTATAATAAAAAATAATTGTTTTTGGTATATTTACATTTATATTTTGATAGTGTTAACCCAATTTTATTTTGTTGTTGCTATTATTATGCATTTATCAGAGTTGAACATTGTAAAAAAATGTTTTTTGAATTCCCCTTGAAACAAAATCTTGGCTACGCCCATGGATGAACTTATCATTCCAGATCTACCAACTAAGTTTCTAGTAATCAATAAACATTCTTCAATATATGTATGTATATATATATATATATATGAAGTTTATATATATATATATATATATATATTATATCTATTTTATTCTAATTTACATACATATATATTAATTAATATATGTCTATCAGAAATTTTCATGTTCGACGAATATTGAGCCGATGTAAAGATTAAATCATGTAATTATTCAATGGAAATTGCTCATTTATAATACCTCCAGAAAGCCTTGAAGAAGCTGCACGAGAAAGAAGACATTCGGGAGCAAGCCTCAATGAACCAACAAAGCCACATAAATGACAATCCCAACAATGATGTTAGCGAAATTAATCTCATTTAACTGAAGAATGTTAGCTCCAGTTTGCAACTTACAACAATCATACATACATCACCAGTGATGGACATGCGCTAGTTTACAGGTCCGCATATCGTTTAATATTTTGATGTAATTTATCAAGAACTACAGTTTACAGGTAAATGTTATTTATTTCACCGAGTTAAATACTTCAAACATACGTTAAACGTAAGTCCAAATTTGGTTTGTAAATGTGTGACATTTAAATAAAGGTTTTACGATTTCAAATCATTCCACATCCACAAATGACAAATTGAGAATAAAAATGCATGATTTTGTTTTTTAATAAGGTAATAATTAATGTGAGAAAACTCCAAAATGGTTAAAAGATTTGATGAAACTGACTTTTCGACGAATAATAAATAAGAACAGTCCATTTTTAATCAACAATCTATGTTCTGTGTTCATTACGTTAAATAGATTGAAAATGAAATTAAATAAGAACAAGTTTAACGTTTCATAAATACAATTAAAAACTTTATTTGCAAATTATTTAAAAATCAAACCGACTTTTCAAGTTAAAATTGAAAACAAACAATGAATAATGATAACGAAACGAGATGCAAATGTCATTAAAGAGAATGAGAGCCAGAGTAGATAGAAGCGATAAGAATTCAAGTGAGTGGACAATCAGAAAAAGACATGAAACTTTTGACAGGGCAGAAGCGTAGGGCCGGAAACTTCTCGTTGGAGATTTCAAAGGGTAGAGTCGTTGATTCATTCGATGATCTGTAATTTGAACGGCGTTTATACATGAGTGTGGGAGTGAAGCACAATATTACTTCAACATTAAATTTTTTGGACTGTTTGTTAGAATGTTGCTTGTTGCTGATGCGTTTTACGATTAACATTAACGGTCGTTGGACAAAAATGAATTTCAAAATAAGAACTTTTTAACCCGACAATCTTTAACCAAAAACAATAATAATAAATCAGGCAAATTAGGACACAACGAACTTGTTACATGAATGAAGCAAATACTTGTCCCATTGAAGCTTACCATCTTTTTCCAATGTGAACTCCTATGGAAAACACATAAATTTACATTGATTACACAAATACCGAAAACTTCTCATTCAATTTTAAATTACTACTGTTAATATTCAACATCAAGCTCACAAATGAGTTTTACATAGCATCACAAATGTCAGACATGAAATGAGATTTAAAAAATGTTGAAATATCTAACAATGTAGAAAGTCTGTTCATATTCTGTGTGATATTGTGAGTTGCGGATGTATCTCTTCATTCTGCTGCTTGGATCCGGTCTCTTCTTCAGAACTAAACTCAACTTTGTGTAGTTCATTTAAGCACATTTTACTTAATAAACATCATTTATTAAGTTAATCTAATTTTTAAAAAACAGCTTAAATTAATAATAAATGTAAAAAATCAATAGTTAACGTTATTAACATGTTATAACTTATAACAATCAACACAGCACACCATCAGGTGCCTAAGTGTATAAATCAGTTCTGAGATAGACCAACTAGAGATTGTATTTGTTAACCATCAGATTATAGTTTATTATTTGTGTTTTCAGAATATCATTATTCATAAATCCTTCCATCACAGCCAAATTTGAAGAGATTCAAAAAAAGTTTGTTCATGACAGAAAAATTTAATTTATGGTAACCATAAGATGCAGAATAACCTACTTTATCGTTGTTGAGTTTGTAGTGGCCTTGCAAGAGACCCTGAACGTATGTGTTCCTCGTCTTCAAGTCTGGCAACACATTCAGCGGTAGTTTGGGACTCGTCAGCATGTATACAGTGCCTGGTTCAGATATTATTCAAAATCCTCTGAAAGGAAAACAAGACAGACGAAGAAACAGACTGATAAACATTTACAAGGACAGACATTAGACGAAACAGAAAGACAGACACAAGGACAGACAGACAAAGGAACAGACCTTCAGGATAGAAACGAAGGTATCTGAAGGAATGAACAACGTGCATTGGCTTGTACAGACCATCAAAACTTTTCTCACCACTTCTGAAGTAGGTGGTCTTGTTGATATAACAACCTTTAACATAATAAGTCCTAGTTAGAGTACTCAAACTTCCAGCAAAAAAAAAAGAGTAAGAGTAATTCCACAAAATTATTATTACATCATTACTCGCATAATTACATTACTGAAATGAATCCAACTACTATTTGTTTCTCAAACATGAATTAAAAAATCAAACACAACAAATGCAGAGTGTCTCAAACAAACAAATGATTTGTTACAGATCAGATATCATTGTTGATCCAACATTTTTACTTAACAACGGTTTTATCTTTTCTGTATGATAAATATAAATTAGTGATAATGTAATAGAGAATAAACCACAAATATATTTAAAACAAAAATTCAAACCGAGCAGAAAAAAATAAAAAACAATAATTAAAGGTTATAGCAATTGAAAGAACATAAAACCCAAGCATAGTGAATAACATTAAGTCATGTTAATAAACATTCATGCTAACTCACAGCGCTCTCCGCTACACACTGATCACGCAAATAATAAATAAGCACTGCAGTCATACTTTTTCAATGAAGTAAATGAAAAGAAAACAAATTTTTGACCAAAATGAACATTTCCTACCATTAAATTTGACTCTAGGTCGTTTCATGAACATTTGCCTGAATGAAGAATATGAAGACAGGGCAATATTCTTCTCCCAGGTTCTGCATAGTTGGTTCAAACGTTTACAAATACTCAACGAGGGTATTATAAAGTACATATATCGTTATCCCCCTTAGGTTGTTGAAATCATATTGTGCGGTAAGCTATCATCACACATCTTATAAAATGTGGAATGAAGCTTAAATATTCAATAAGTTAATTTGAACTTTTGAACTTATTTTAAACACCAGATTTAATTATTTATTTTCAGATTTCGATAGTGATTAACATGAACAGACATTTTGATTGTTTTTACTATCTGTTTATATTTTAGAATCAATATTTTTGGTTTACGCATCTAGTTGTTTGTGCATGTTTAAGTCTTTTGTTGTGCTTCTGATTACTCCGCTCAATGTTATATGTCATACTATGTTTATAAGTTGCCCATTTAACAACCTCAAATGATCAGATGAATACAAATACATCTCCATTGAATAGTGTTGTCATGATAAATTTATTATATCACATGGCATTGGATTTTAAAGTTTGAAATAATTAACATTCTTTAAACAGGAGAATAATAACTATTATTATATAATTATAATAATAACTAATAATAAGTATAACTAATATTATATAATATTCTAATAATCTTAGAATAAAACTATGTTGAAAATAGTAAGAATAAATTATGATAAATAGTTAGTCAGAACAACCTCATGCATATTAACTTCCATATATCTTCAGCACGAGCGAGTGAATAGAAACTTTTACAGACCTGTTGCAATTATAATTTTATTACATAATTTATACACATTTATATTTAATTTATACATATTTATACATTAACATTTTATTATATATTAAATGCCATAATATATAAAAAATATAATTCGATAAAATAAAAGTTACTTATAACTATTATCAGTCTAGAGTACTAATCTTCTTAAAAAACAATAGTAATATGAAAATGACCATAGACTCACAAAAACACTTTAAATGATATCATCTTGTTGATCAAACTCAAATAAATCCTATCACTTTCATTAATTAATTTAAAAGAACTAAATGATTAGAAAAAAAAATGAGGTTAGCTCTTTAATTATATAATTATATAAGTCATAATTACACTGTAAAAAAAATATAAAAATATGACCAAAGCTAGACTCTCCAACGAATCAGTATCCAGGTTGCTTGACACGACCCACTTAAATATATAGGTCAGTATCTCCACTGGCAGAGCTGATATGTGGGTGGTCTGGGGAGGGGTGGTTTTTATATTGCATGGTGTCAGTTAATGTGAGTGAACATATCATTCAATGCTGCATGAAATTTCACGAAATGAAGATGTCAAAATTGGCTGAGATTACGCAAGAAAATTATTTGATTTTCTAATTTAAATAATTTATTATTTGTTTAAGAAAGTAATTTTTGTTCATGAAAATTTATTTTCAAATTTGAATAAATAAAATAATGAAAGTTTAAAATAAAAGTTGTAGATACATAAAACTTAATGAACTCAAACAAAGTATTAATGGTTAAACAACTTTACACAAAACCAAAAAAACACACACACGCACAACATAAACAAATATATAGCTCAAAACCTCCATAAACTAAATCTCCATAATTCAACTTGCCTTACAAAACATATAAAAATTTGTCAAAGATACTAAATATTTTTAATAAAAACTGTTGTTAGTTGAAACGCTTTGAAAGAATTATAATGCTTGTTTTAATCAATAATATACACCTGCTGAGTAAATTCAGGAACACACGTGCAACCTTCAATGCATTTGTAGATCTGTAGATTTTCAAAATCTTCTGCAAGATCATCATCTTCCTCGGCCTCATCCTCTGTGTCCTCTCCATCATCTTTATATTCTCCAATTTGAAATATTTTTTCGGGACCTGCACTTATTTCTTTTTCAGTTGTTTCTATGTGGCCAATCTCTGATGGCTTAATAAAATTAAAAAAAGGAAGGCATGAAATGTATTTATTTATTAATGTTAATTTTATAATTTCTAAATCAAGCAGGAAATAAAATAATAATTTCTATAATAATACCATTTTATAAAAATTTTAGTTATTTCTCATCAGAAAATAAGATTTAAAAAAAAAGTGACACAAATATTTCACCTGTGACTGCTCAGTATTGGTCACAAAGACGACATTATTTGTTGTACCGTGATTAATTTCATGTTTCCACTGTCTTCTAAAGATCTCCAACTCATCTGCTGAGACAGAGTCAGGTCTGTTTCCAACAGCATCATTACAATTACGGGGATTGCTGTCACTTGAGTCGACAACAGGAAAGCCACCATCAACATCATCTTCTTCACCTACTACATCTTCTTCAAATATTTCTTTGTCGTCTTCTATATTATCCTGCAATGTCAAGTTAATTAAGTTTAATTAATTTAAGTTCAATTTTATTTTAAGGAGTAATATTAGATATGAACTAACAGTTGTTTTAATTTTTAAATCATTGATTTAATTAAAATACTATGTAACAGAATAAAAATATAAAAGTCATTAAGTTAGCAGTCAGCTCAAGTGGCAGGATCATGTCACGCCTCTCTATTTAGTCAGTAGTCAAGACACAGCAAATGAAGGATATCAAAAAACAGAATATGGGCAGGTAGTTCAACCTCAAAACAAACAATCAATCAATTAGTTCCTAACGCGCAATTTTCCCCCCAGATGTTCAACAGTGCTTCTCAATGAATTTTTCAAATAGTTGGGTCTTGAGATTCGCTCTGAACTTTGTAAGTGATGGAGAAGTAGTCAGAGAAAAAAAGTTTCAGAAAAAAAGGGCCAGAAAAAGCAAACGCAGATTTAGCAAAAGATTTAAGGTTTTTTAATTTAAAAAGTAAGGAGAACCAAAAGACGATCGTAAACTGGGACATAAAGTGCATGACAACCGACAGAATGCTACACACAAATTCTAACCATAATGATGAAAAATTTAAAACGTCAAATCACGCCAGGAGTAGCAGATAACGCGGGATACAGTAACTAAAATTCTAGCCCACCTTATCGCCGCCATTTTTTTCTAAAGTTTTCAGCAGGGCACACGCTTTTATACTCTCTTTAAAATTCCAGAAATTATACAAAAAGCCAAATTTTTGGCTAACTTGTTTCTTTCGATTTACACTATATATACATTAATTTGAATATAATATAAATTAATATCATTGAAAAATATCATTATATAATTATATTAATATCATTATATAATTCCATGATTAACATATATGAATTAAGACTGTATATTATTACTATTATAAATTATTTTTATTGTAATAAAAAATTTTTTTTAACAAGAATATCCATTTTAAAAAATGCTTAAAATTTCGTTTAGTTTGAAAACATGTGTTTTGACATCCATTTTAAATACATATTTATATCGTGGCATCGCACGGCATTTCCTAGTATATGAGTGTGAATGGTTCTCGGCCTTTCACGTTCTTGGCCGTTTTTGTTGAGGCCTACCATCTCAACTCTTTCGATGTTGTCGTTCAGACAGCGCATCACATGTTCAAAATGTTCTCATTTGCACAATTTTACATGGCATAATTATCTTTAATTTGTGCCATATTGTAAACTTGTTTGTTTGTTTATTTGTTAGTTTGTTTATTTGTTAGTTTGTTTATTTGTTAGTTTGTTTGTTTGTTACTAGTTTTTTGTCATTAAAATAGAACGATTTTCGGAGATATTTGTTTCTTTTTCAGTTTGAATACGTCATTATCTTAGTCTCGTAGTCGTGTTGATTTTAGAAATTTATTTGTCAGTTTGGTTTCCACGTCCATCAGCAGCTTTGATTTCGTGTCGCCTGTTCAGACATTGACATCCAACAGACATCTTTCAATTTAATATGAAAATACTTAGAAGTTTGCAGAAATACTTAGAACAGTTTTTCTAGATCCCCCACAATTTCAAAAACTACATCAACACGCTTTTCTACCTTTGTTGGTAATATACCAATCACGGTATTATATTCCTTAGTTCCAGTCGGTTCATGTAAACGTAGCTAGTAGTACTGGTGGCTGAAAACAACGGTCATTATTCCAATATCAAATTAAAATTGGGATCGAATTAATGCTGCAAATATATATTCGTAACATACATTAAATATAATGCAATTAAGACATATGGAACGTTTTATCTGAACAATTTGGCTGTTATGTTCAATCAATGCAAATCAAAAGCATCCACTGGTGTCTAATACATGAGATATAGAACAAAAACAAAAGAAATTTTTGGAATACGCGAGGAATCATTATAGAATTACAATTATGTTATTACCTCCAGAAGATTTTTTAGTAACTTGATGAAAAAAAAGTTTATCAACATAATTTTAAATTCTATTTTGAATATAATCTCATTAAAATAGAGGTCGTCATCGGTCTAACACGAGAACATTTTTTTATGTTGAAAATAAATTTAGTTAGTTAAAAATGAAGTCTTTAATAGTAGGCACAAACATTTGGAAGTTTCAAGTGATTGTTATTTGCAATTATTAATTAATCAATTAAGTACTACTTTTAATAAATTATTTAATAAATATTTAAAATTAATTTAAAAAGATTCCACAACCCATCAAACGCTGAGTGAGCGTATTGTTAAGAAGGATCATGTTCGTAGTGAATGAGGAATATTTGAATTGAAGAAAAAGTTGATGACGACGTGAGGATGAAGATGATGATGAAAAGATGATGATGGAGATGACGACAACGACGATGATGAATATGAGAGTGATGATGACGATAATGATGACAAACATGACGACGACGATGATGATGACTATGGAGCTGATGGAGCTATGATTATGCATCTTAATATAAATTTAGCATGATGACGTTCCAAATCTCAAATACTGAAATTTATAGCGCAATTCTTTATACTGCTGCTGATGACGATGAAAATGATGGTTATGATAATTATGTAATAATGAGGAAGATAACACAGAAGATGATGTTAAAGAGGTTATGATCATTATTTTAATGTTTGTTGAAAAATGATAATGATTTGAAAAATTGGGAGGATAATATTTTGGAGTTCGCCGTTTCTTTGGTTTTGCTGGATGACATCATCGATGTTGTTGATGATGTCGTTTGCTTTGATGGTGTCGTCGTCGTTGCTATTATTGTGGTTGTGGCTGGCGAAGTTGAGGCGATAATCGTTGTGGTCAGATTTGTTACATCTGCTTCTGAGTTGAGGGTAACTGATTTTGAAGTTGACGATGTCGATGTCATAGATGATGTCACAGAGGATGTCATGGATGATGTCATGGATGACGTCATGGGTGACGTGGTTGTTGTCAAGGATGATGTTGTTGATGTCATGGAAGATGTGGTTGATGTTGTAGTCTTAGTTGTTGTATTGGTATTTGATGCAGTTTTGCTTGTTTGCATTGAAGTTGCACTGGAAAGTGATGTTTTTGCGAAGATTAAGTTGGTAGATGTTTGTGTAGAAGTTGATGGCGTTGTTGTGGATGATGTGGGTGAAGTTGATGAAGTTGATATGGCAGGTGAAGGTGAAGAAGAAGATGATGTTCTTTGTAAGGATTTTAGAAAATATTGAGCAGTGTTATTATTTTTTGATGGACGCATGCAAATAGTCTGTGCGTAATCATCGTCGTCGTCATCACCATCATCACACTGTCTACACTCGCCACTCAATTCACTCATTTCATCTTTAATTTTGGTTGATTTTTTATCAACTTTATCCTCATCTTCTTCTTCTTCTTCATCTTCCTCTTCCTCCTCCTCCTCATCGTCATAATCTTCCTCCTCCTCCTTTTCATTTTTTCCGTCTCCTTCATCGCTATCTTCATCTTCGTCATCATAATGAACTTTCTCCTCATCACCTTTGCCGTCATCCTCACAGTTGATAGCATCACCAGCAATGATAACATTCCGACCCTCAGCTTCCTCGTTGAATGGCTGCGGCTGGTCGCTGTAGTAGATGGAGCTGTCGCTACCAATTTTTCTGAGAACGTATTTCTCCCCAGGTGCTCTTGCTAGTTTATGAAGATGACGACGATGATGATGTTGATGAGTGAATGAGTGATGTTGACGAGTGAATGATGCAATTTTAACACGATCGTTATCATTTTCCCCACTGTAACGATCATCATCATCTTCGTCGTCGTCTTTTTCTTTAATGGATTTCTTCTTTGTTTGTTTTTTGTTCGTCTGCTCCTAAAAGTTAAACATTTTTTTCATTATATAACAATTTATTTAAAAATCCACTTTTAATTTCATCATCGTCGTCGTCGTCATCATCATCCCAAACATCATTATCGTCCATGATATCATTAACATCATATAACGTCCTAAAATTATCATCATCATTATCATCTTTAGCGTCATCATCATCATTCTCGTCATCCAAGCATCATAATCATCATCTGAAACATCGTCTTCATCATCATCATTATCATCTCAGTCATCATCATCACCTCAAACATTCTTCTCAGATGTTTTCGTCATTCTAAACATCATCATCATCATTACCGTCGTCATCAGTCATCATCGTCCTCACCATCAATCCAAACATCATCACCCAAACATCAATTCTCCCATATATAAGTGCGAATTAATTAAAATCAGAAATAAAAAGTTGGCACATGCTTGCCACTCAACTATCTCCTTTTCATGTTGTACGCCATGCAAATAATGATAACCCTCCATCATCCAATCAACTTACATAATGATAATAATAATACACGTATATGCCATTATAAATTTATAATAACTTGAATATTTTCAAACATTAAAGAGGTCACATCAATTCAACTCAAAACATCAACACTACTAATACTTACTTTCTCTCTCTCTTTCTTTCTATTTTCTCTCTCTCTCTTTCTATTTTCTCTCTCTCTCTTTCTATTTTCTCTCTCTCTCTCTTTCTCTGATAAAAAACACGCATACAGTAGCACTAGCAGACCAACACATGTAGAGAAAAACACCAACATAAACTTATACGTAAACTTATAAATTAATATATTCATTATTAAATTAAATAAATCAATAAATATGATCAAACGCACACAGAGGCGCGCGTATACAAACATGTACGCGTATACAAACATGTACAAACATGCAAACACACACACGCGCGCACACGCACGCACACACACAATCACACACACACACACACGCAAACATTAACCTGCACCATACGATGATGAAAATAGTTGCTGGTAACGAAGATGATGATTTTGTTGAGGGAGTGATAGAGGAGGAACTTCACGTGTGTCAGTAGCGAGTCGCAACTGCAATTTATGGCGTTGTTCAGAAGCTCGTCCACTTGCTGAATGTTGTTGATTATGATGGTGATGATAATGATGATAACGATGATGATTGTGAAGTTTAGTGATGTTGATGATAATAGTGGTGGCCAGATTGACGATGATAAATTTGACAAAAGTATAAAATAAAATAAAGCAATTCATATTTTCATACAATTACAGAATTTCAAACAGCCTGCATGGGTGATGAAAAAATTAAAAATTTCTTTTATTCTGTGTAATCCACCCACTGCCACATTGGGGCCATCAAGCCGCCATGAACAGAATAACTCATGCTCTCACTAACAACTCACTAATCATGAGATTTTTTCAATTCTAAATTAATAATTTTTTCGTTCTTTCAAATTGGGCCAGCTTCTTAAAAATCAATTCTTATTCAGTGCTACACATTTTTAGCGGGGAGGACAGAACTCAAATACTAAAGTCTTTTGCAATGTGATTTTTAATACGTAAGGCATACAGACTTCAATTGCCGGTTGAATTATGATAGAACGAATTCGTTTCACCAATCACACATTCCTGGATCCTCAACAAAACAAAGCCATCTTATTGTGAAGCCTGCAACAAAAAACTATCTATTCAGCAAATATTAACTGAATGTGAAAAATACGATCAGATCAGAAGGAAACTCGGGGTTCCATCAAATGTAGAATTGCTCTTCCAGAATAGAAGCCAGGAAGTCTTGATTTCATTTGTGGAGGAGATAGATTTGATCAACAGAATTTGAAGTTTTCTAGATGTCACAACAAAATAATCAGTTTCTAATGACCCAATAGCGTTAAAATAGCCGCATCATGCTGAAACACCGTTAAGCAGCAAAAAAAGAATTCGTTTCAATGCGACATGATGCTGGTAAGCATTTAACACTTCAAATATTGGATAAAAATAGCTAAATGAATCAGTTCATTTACCAATGAATAATCAATTGATGGGATTTAGTTTGGGAAATTGCATGATTGCCCACCAAACAAACGAATTACGTTAAATGGTCGAACATTTAGATGAACAGGTTATTAATTCAAATAGAAAATATCAACAACAACCAAACAAACACGCATTGAATCAACAAACAACTTGATGGGTAATGAAATCGGTTTTATAATAATACTTAACCCAAAACAAAAGCAAAACAAATCAGAGAACCGTCTGCTAACACAAATGAATAACAGAATAGGTAGGTAGGTGCTTTTTATTATTATGCAACAAAATATATAAACTTTTTTTTATCTTAGTTTCAAGACGGCATAAGCATAATATCGTTAAATGATATACGATCATATTCTGCTCCTATAAAATGATAAACAACAACAAACACAAACATACCCACCACACAAACACGCTGCACAAAGACACAAACAAAACATATATACAAACAAACGTACTACCACAATAGTACATATTCATACATAATCACAAAAACAAGCACATACAATCACACAAACAAGCAAACGTATGCACACGTATACAAATACACACAAACATACACATACAAACACACACACAAAAGCGTACACATACATACAAACACACACACACACACAAACGCAAACAAAGACACACACACGATAACAAGGTTTGGTATTTATTAATTTCCAATATTCTACCCACTCATAAGGTGCTAATCTACCTACGACGCTATCACTCAACATCTATTATTTGTATGAATATTATTTTTCCATATCAAAACTCCTAACAACAGCAGCAACAACAACAGCAAGAACAATAATAATGATAATAATAATAAATTTATGATAGACAATCGTTTGAATATTCTGACACCACCTCCCAGCCTGTTTTTGAGAACAAAATTATAATTTAACAAATTAACTAAACTAGTGGTTGTATAATTTTGCCACGTCTCAGAAATTACAACAACAAAATTTAATAATGAGTTATTTTAAATTAATAACTCAGAAACATAATTAAACGAACTTCTTGAGTTAGTGTGTAATATTGAAAATGATTAAATTTAGGAATACAATAATAGTTATATGATATTGGCTAGTTATCAAGCGATTAATAAGAATAGGGGTGCTGTAACGAACTGAAAATGTTACAATCTGGATCCATGTCAATGTTGAATTTTCTAAAATTTGCGATTAAAAAGGAAATATGATCAACCACGAGGCATTAAAGTGATGCAGAGATGTAAGAATCCTATGATCCTATGCGGGATTTGTGTGATTTAATCGCGCGGTAATCGTTAGAATGAATGTTTAAAAGTAAATTTGACAAACAAATAAACAAAGAAATAAATAAACAAATAAATAAATAAATAAAGGAATCATAATTACAGGTTCGTATTGTTGGAACTTCTTGGCAACGACCTTCCTGTAGAGGACAGTTGATCCTTGCAAGCATGGCAGTGCCAGCCAGGTTATCAACATCATCTTCATCTCCGTGTAAAATGGGAACCTAGGTGATGACGACGACGACGATGATGATGATGTAGACAGTGGCGGATCTAGACAACTACTTTAACGGAGGGCCAAAATTTTGAAAATGTTTAAATAATTTGGACATTTTGACGAAGGGGAGGGCCGAGATTTGTGGTCGTGTAGTATCCAAAATAGGCTAGCCACCTTATTTTTTTAGATCCGTCACTGGATGTAAGTGATGACAACTACCATGATGAAATGACGATAACAATAGTGAAAATTGATGATGACAATGGGAAAAGGTATTGTGATGATGATTCGGTCTATTGGCTGAATGTGAAATAAGAAAGATTGAGTTAGATTATTATAACAACAACAACGACAACAAAATAATAATAACAATAATATTATTTTTTATTTACAATGATGGCTAAAACCATTCTTATATTAATAAATTCATTCTGAACTCTAAAATCGTTTAAAAAAACTTTTCAAACCATTAAGTTAAATTAAACCCAGATAAATTACATTCAATGAATTTTGTGTTCTTGTGTTTGTGTCTGTCTGATAACTACTGACATTTAAACGTAACGACATACAACCTGTGTAATGCGAGTTGGGGATATGGCCCGATTGTTAAAGACGGATGCGAAAGACAATGTCTACCATACCCTATTTATTCTTATGGTTTTTACGCGTATTCACGTACGTTGCGTGTGTGTATATGCGTGCGTGCGTGTGTAAGTGGTGTGTGTGCGTGTGTGTGTTGTTGATGCTTATGGAGTAAGTGCAGTAATGAAAAATGACCTTTAACCTTTATCGCTTTGTTATAATTTTATATCAGGGCAATAATGATAAAAGTTTATTTAATAAAATTTAATCAAAATATTAACAATGATTTTGCAAAAGCGGTCACAATCGAATGTTGTTTGTATCATCTACAAGGATGTCCATTCCATCACTTTCTTATCAACGATGCCACCATAAACGCTATTGTTATCATCACCATATTTAACTGATGATGATGGTGATGACGATGATGATGACGTGGACAATTATATTGATAATGCTAAATGATGTTAAAAATTTTAATGTCGTTTCGATGACATGATGATGGTAATGATGATAGTTTTGACTGTGAAGATGATAATGATGATGTTAGAATGACGTTGACAGTGATGATAATAATTTTGTTGATATTGATAAGAGGCAACATGTTGTATTAATCATCATCTCCCACTCACTCACATCTGTTGATGCTAACATTTTCATAAGAGAGAGAGAGAGAGAGAGAGAGAGAGAGAGAGAGAGAGAGAGAGAGAGAGAGAGATGGGAAGAGACTAATTCATATGGGAAGAGATTAATTCATCTATTAAATACAATTTAAGCAGTTGTGATGGACAAAAAAAATTTACTAAAAATTAATTAATTAAATAGCTGACGGCTTAAACTTCATTCAACATATCAAAAAAAGTTGTATAAAAAGTTGCTTCGGTTTCCATACATTTCATTATATTGGTGCTTTTCAGGACATTAAGTATTTGATGTAAATCAAGTGACATTTAGTAAATATTTTTTTTATACACTATTTTGGCAGAGTTCATAGTGTTATTCGTACAAGCAAACATGACCTGCTTCATTATATAATAATATATAAATAAAATGCAAGGACAATTAAGTTATGAGTACATACAACTAGTTTAATGATATTTTTAGGTATAATATTTTTAACGTTCTCTTCTAGACATTCAGTTACTTTCTCATGGCACTCTAAAAAATGCTGATAAATGTCTCAAGTTCATAGAAAGTTGGTTTATAAACTTGTTTAATAAAAAGTTTTTAAGTAAAAATATCAGCAAGTTATCAATGAGTCATAGTAAAATTTGGAGTGACGATTATTCTTCTAGCAACATTTTTCAGTTACATGGAACAAACTATTTATTAGATAAAATGAAGACACAAACGGAAATTTGAAATAAATATTTTTTATACATTTGCAAGTGGATTCTAACAAATTTGAATGTGTTCGAATGGATGACACTGAAGAAGCGTTGGTACACTAAATGCAGTACGAGCAAATGAAAAATTACATGCAAACAAACAACAGCACAAACTCACAAACCGTGATGAGAACAGCACTACAAAAACATCCCACTAACCAAAACAAGTACAACCCAACGTTCATTTCACAACAACATTGACAACAACCAACCAGTAACAACTTACAACGACAATGCTCAACAATAGCCAAAAACAGCCCGACAACAACCCAACAACAATCCAAGAAAAACAGCCACTTACCACTCGAAGAACATGTCTGACATGAACTCACAACAGGTGAACACTGCATACACAATCCAGTATATCATTAATCTGTTCTGTGTGGTGTGTTTGTGTCTGTGTGGTGTGTTTGTGTCTGTGTGGTGTGTTTATGTCTATGTGGTGTGTATGTAAATGCGTGCTATCTATCATATGGTAATCATTTATGAATAACGTATATTTCAACAAATTCTTTACATTAATGCATTGATCAAATAAATCTTATTTGTAATGTTCAGTAACATTACTTAAAGAGACCAGAAGAGGCAGTGACGAAGAAATATTGTGAGGTTGAGGAATAAAAACGAAGACAGATGATGCACTGGTAGGTAGGCGGCACTTGAAACGAGTGGTGCACAGTGGCGAGTCTAGGGGGCGGGAGGCTGAGGTACCCGGAGCAGTGTCATTAAGTCAGTAAACCCTCGCCAAATTTCCGAAAATTTCAACTTTTGGCCACCCGTCTACGTTGTCTAAATTGGCCACTGGCGGTGCATGTTACTGTGGCTGAGGAAAATTTTGTTCAAACCAAAAAAAAACAAATAAGCACGCATAAATGCATTGAAGTAAATTTGAAATCATTTTTAATGAAAGAGAAACGATCGAACGAGACGATGAAAAGAATTTATAAGAATGTAAACAAGCGGGAATGTATACACGAGTAGAAAGGAATATTATTTTACACTAATAAGATTTTTTATTCACCACTTGCTTAATTTTAATTATTTAAAACTTTATTTTAGTCATTTGTTATTAAACTGGCGTATTATGTATTATTTAAATATAACATCTAACTAAAATACAAACAAAACCTAAATTTATCACTAATGAGTAATGAGGATGAAATAAATAAACAATAAATAATAAAAACTAAACGATAACAATAGAATTGTAAATATAAATATTGTTTAAAAAGTATGTAAATGATAAAGTTGTAAATTTATGGAGCATGTGAAATCAATTAACTTACATATTCTTTGGCGTCTTTATGCTTGATGGTTTTGTAGGAAGCATAGGCAGGTTGGATTACCGCCAACGACAACCTCACAACTTTATACAACGCAGAGCCCATTATGATCCTCCCAGGGCTAGTCCTCCCAATATTTTTATTCTAAAATTTCGAATTCGTTCGCTAAGATGATTTTTTCACATTCGCCGCCGTAGACGGGCGGACAAATTTTCAAACGACGACACATCACATTGGATAACCGCTACAAACACGTTTATGCATATACAAAATATTCAGACGCACGCAAACTCGCTATACGAAAGATTATTCTTATCGTTTGTACATGAATGCGATGAATCGAAATACCAATACTAACTGAAAATTCATACATCTGCATGCGATTAAACTAAAATTTTACGTTCAGTGCATGCAAATCAAACGACTTAACGTTAACATTTCAATTTATATGTGATGAACTTTTTATACATATGAATGCATGTGTTACATTGGAGATGGATAGTCCTCACAATACATACACAATACGTATGTATACATGCTATCATTGATTAAATGATGAACACTCTTCTTATACATATACATACGCTTGTAGACATACAGCAACAGCAAACTGATAAAGTTGTATCAATAACAAGGATATGTTCATTTGCATAGGCTTATACTCAAATAAACTTATTTACACTTACTGAAGGGTGACTGAATAGACGAATAAACTAATGAATGGATGAATGAATGAATGAATGAATGAATGAATGAATGAATGAATGAATGAATGAATGAATAAATGAATGAATGAATGAATGAATGAATGAGTGAGTGAGTGAGTAAGTGAGTGAGTGAATGAATGAACGAACGAACGAACGAACGAATGAATGGATTGGTAAAAAATAAAAATATATACATTTTCTTATAAAATGTTGTAAATGTTTAAGTAGATGGATAAATGGTAAAAGTGATAGATTACGTGAATGGGCAGATGGAAATTTTGTCAAGTGAATGAATGAATGAATGAACAAATTACTGGTCTAATTAATATTTCTTATATTAATATTAATAAATCAATCAATTAGTGAATCGAAATAAATAAAAGAATTAACTCTTTTGGTGAATGAGTAATTTTAGATAAATTATCGATAAATAAACAAATTTGTGCTCCGATACAGATAAAACAGGCAGATGTAATAGTTTAGAGACGCAATTTGATTTTTCATTAGGCTGGGACTGGGCCGCCGAGACACTTCCTGGACATTTCCAAAAGCCAACTGCCAAAGGAAAGTTACTGCGTTTGTAGTTTTAAACTTAAATTACCTTTTAATTATATGAGAGTTTCAAATAATAGTTCGGATTGAATGTAACCAAAGTTAAACGGCGAAATCATTGCATATATTGAATTTTAACGCAAAATGTCGATTCAATTTTTCGAGCAGCTACAAATTTCTCAAAATTTGCAAACATTGAACTTGAGAAAAGAAATCTTAACATTGAAGTGTAGACTGTTTTGATGGAGAAAAAGAACTATAGCCAACCAACCAAATGAAAATGTAAAAGATAAATTTCGTGTTCATGTTCACAAACGTGGATCGATTAATTAATTAATAGTCTAAAACAGCGATCATCAGAACATGGTAGTCTTTCGCAGAATAATCTTGTTTAGATGCAAGAATTTTGGCACAAATTTTGAAAGAATGTCTAGTGATGCACTGCAACACTTGAGTGGGTTGCTCAAAATTTGATTATGCTGTAACAAAAGATCACTTCAAACTGAATTATTGGATTTTGTTAGGAAATGTGAAAGTTTTTAAACAACTCTCGAGAATGGTTTTTGAAATGGAAATATAGGACTCACTCTCGGACATTTAACGATTTGAATCAGTAGAATTACTTGAAAATATGTACAAAACCATCTCATTAATTGAAAACAGCAACAATCACATATATAAATGCAAATCTTTTAAAATTTTATTTTGTTCTCTTTAAAAGTTATTTTGTTCTCTAAACGTTTTATTTGCATATTTTTTTGTATATTCCAATTTGTATTCGGCTTACAAATTTGTTTTGATAGTATCCTTCACAAGTTGCTTGTGAGAGGTCCTTTTTAAAAATGGAAATACACTTTGACGGTATTAAGAAATTTGCCGGGCCAGTCAACTTTACGACCATTCATGCCAATGTCTTGCAAGAAGGATCTTTTCCTAAGAATGAACAACAATGAGATCATTGATGACTTAGCATCGGTTGTTGAAGTAAAACAATAAACAAGCTGTTATAATAGTTAACGGTGAATATAAATTTTAGACTCTAGTGTTTTTTTATGTTAAGTCGTTAGAACATAACTAAGAGATATTAGACTATTTAAAGTTGTTTTGCATGATTGCGAATTTAAACGTGTAATAAATGAAATCATTCATACGACTTCAAATAACGTTTTTGAGGTTTAAAATGTCACCATTACGCACAAAATAATCATAAAAATATAAGAAAAGTAAACAGAAATTGAACTAAACTGAATTAAATTGAATTAAATTGAAGATAAGTAAAAATAAAAGATCATGGAAAAAATTTATATGAAACTAATGATGATGTAGGCTGCCATGACAGAATTTCCTTGGCCGTTTTTTAGCTAATCCCGACTCTGTTTATCGTCTTAATTATGAACATAAATAATTGATCAAAAAATTACAAAACTATATATATATATATATTGGGTTTAGACTATCATAAATACAATTATTTATACATAAAACTTAAGAAAAATAAACAGAAATTGAACTAAAAAATATTGAATTATATAATATTTGTTTAATTTATTTAAATAAATATATATATAATAATTTATTTATTTACAATATGAATAGATGATACATAGCAAACACAGATATCTGAGCGATTGTTCAATAATAATAATAACAATAATACACATTGATCCTCAACTTAAAACTGATGATGTTATCACTTCATAGCTCGTAGACAATTTTCTATCATTTCTTTCTTTCTGAAAATTTTTATAAAATGTTTTAATAACATTTATTTGTATGTTATTTAACGAAACTAATTCTTACTAATTTCCATGAAATAAGTTTCACCCATTCCTCCAACTGGGTTTCACTATCAGAGACTAAGTAGAAGGTTCTCCAACTAAATTCTAAACTGGAAAAAGTAATGGATTTGTTTTTTTAATTGAAAAATGTGCACAAATATTTTATGTAATTCAATATTGTTATTTATATATATATGCGTACATACACTCACACACGCATACACACACGCATACACACATACATATATAACATATATATATAACATATATGCTGAAAATGCGGTGATATTTCTTAATTACATATATATATATATATATATATATATATATATATATATATATATATATATATATATATATATAAATATAACATAATTTTATATAAAATTTTAGTCACGCGGGGAATATGATTAAAGATAGAACGATGACTGAGCGGTCACGAATAATTAGCATAGCACCTGATAAAGTTATCGTGACTATGGGATCCTAAGACTGGGTTTATCGTTGAATGTTTTTGTTGACAGTTTCATGTAATATTTTTATATTTTTAAACAATGATATTTATGCTGTAATTGTTAACAATTGTAAAAGATTTTTGAGCACATTCAGTTGAATAACTTTTACCTAAAACAGTTCTCTTTATTCAAAGTTGTATCTAGTTCGCACTTTTGACAGTCAGTAAGATCAAGTGTTCTAATTGGGATTTTGTCACACTTGTCCTTAAAGTAACTGAGGTGGTTTCTTCTTAAAACAAACCATCTGACTTTCCAACTCTGTAAATATTTGTATGAATAATTTTCATGCTATTATGCATTTATTTTTATTCATTTAATTTAAAACATCTGCATATTTTGTTTTTTTCTATGACTTAGAAATCTGAGCACAACAACCTTCACGATGCCTCCCATTTTGGTTAGATATCCTTCTTTAGAACCAATCTTAATTAATGAAAAACGTTCTTTAATTTTTTTGTTTCAATCAAATTCTTCTATTTAAAAAAATTATTATCATTTTCTGAAGATAATATAATTTCAAGTTTAACATTGTTGTTAAAAAGAATAAAACTAACAGCAAGAGATTTTTGAATTGTTTGCGTCTTATGGCCATATTGAGCATGAATTCTGACCGTGTCGTACACAGACGGTTCGTTGACGACGTTTGGGTAGGGGTACCTCAGCCTGGTCGTCAGCCCTGAAGTGTTCATAATTATGTTAATTTTAGGTTCAAAACACTTTTATGAGCATTCAAAATCTGATTTATTGAAATAAATTTATACGAGGCCGATTGCATATAAACATTATATTTGGGACAGTATATTAAAAAATTATAAAATAAAACTATTTTTGATATTTATCCAATTATGGAACAACGTAGCTTAATAATACAAAAAATGTTCTTCAGACAATGTAGTTTTTCGTTTGTTCTCACCAGATGCTCCGGCAATGAGAGGCTCCTTGTTAAAATGTTCGAGAAACTCATCAACGTTGGTGAACCTCGCCAGTCCAAACACCAGCTCATCACAATTAAAACTTATGTTGTAATGCTTCACCGAGTCTTTGCATCTGTTTTTGTTGTTAGTTCGGTAAGTTTATACTTTTTGTTTTTGTTATCTATGTTATCAGTCAATTTTTATCTATATTGTTTACCCACTGAATTTTTTAATTTTTTTCACACAAACACACTTTTAACTGCGTGATTCAATGTTGGTGCGTTAGGTTTGTTTTGCAGTTTGCTGCTGAGAACATCGTCGCATGTTACAACCCAACCATTTTATGTATAGACTGTCAAAATATATTCCGTCTTTTGACAACAAAGGCTCTTGTAGAGATAATTAAAGCCAGAAAGGCAGAAGGTGTTTGCGGGGTTGCCTGCAGCCAATCCTTGCCATCGAAGACGACGCTGAATATGGTCTCAAAGCTCTCAATAGGAATTTGACATTTTCAAAAATTGAATTATTCAAACGTGGCAAGTGAGTCGCGCGCAACAAAAGAGCGAGTGTCTCATTTTTGGAGATGTAATTGTGATATATATAATAGATAAATAATACGTTGAAATTATTTCTCTAATATGCCTGGTGAAAGAGCCCACCTTAATGACAGTGCGAACACCTGTGGAGTTGAACTCGGCCTCATGAGGTAACTCCCTTCTTCACCATTTTGCATCAGCAATGTCTCCGCCAGATGTCTCGATGAGTTTGGATGGTACCAACTGCATGTTAAAGTATTCATTGAAACTGAATCTTATAGCAATAAAATGAAAACTTAATTAGAAAATGTGAAAACTTTGCCATATAAATTGAATTAAATGTAAAATGGTGATTGCAAATTAACAATGAAGAAGCAACATTATCATCAACCAACCTCAACTCTCTTATCTCCTCTTTGAAATTATCAATTATGTTTGACATCTAACGAAATATTTGCCGTTCAAAATTTTGAAACAAAAAAAATAGATCCAATTGATTAAATTTTGTGTCCTACCTCTAACAATTTATTTCTTTTTCTGGTTGTAAACTTTATTAAATGTTTATTAACATAAAATGCATTCTAATTTTTCTTAGTCTCTTATGGAAATTTTCAATCGCGAGTTAATAAACGAAGTAGTACAATATCTTGAACAGCTGACACAAAAATAACGATTATAACATTACTTAGAAAAAAAATTCTTAGTTGATTATATATATATATATCCGGCTTATGAATGAATTAGAAGGCACTCATTATTTACAATTATAAATTCATACAGAGAAGTAGGACAGCTTATAAAAGAACGGCGACGTGTTGTAATTACTGAGAAGTGAGCTTAGTATTCATTCTCCATTCTCTTTACTAGGCTACATATACATGCATGTATATATATATATATATATATATATATATATATATATATACATTAAAACCTTCATACGCACAAATATATATATATATATGTGTATATATATAAATATATATAAATATATATAACTTTATATATATTTATATATATGGTCAAATGTGCTGTGATCTTAGTGCATATGTGCACATTGTGTAGTTGTGGTCATGACAATGGTATATCATCATGAGATTATTAGTCATTGATTTTATTCCTTATGATTTCAATCAATCAATTCTTGCTAAGAATCCCCACCGTCACAACGAACAACACCACAACCAGGAAATATGTGATGTCATACATCGCTAATCATATTTTTATACTTTAAGCTAGGTAAACAAAATTGAATCATCCTATGTTAAAAATAGTTAAAAAGTAAAATCATATATCGATTTCGAGATGGTTTAATGGTCCAGATACTTGGTTCTTAGGTTGGTAGGGGTCTGATATGTTAATCCACGCGGTGTTTTGTTGGAACCTCCAAAGATTAATTGAAAGAGAATAAAATACAATGATGGTAAAATTATATCATTTTATAACTAATAATTAATCCTTTTTATACGAAAATTTTTAACTCGTTAAATTTATCAACAACATAACAACAAATGACTCGTATCAAATACCATTTCTCATTTTCAATGCAAATTTTTTATTAATATATTTAATATAATGATAATGTTTAATATTATAACCATGTTTAATATTATGATTATGGACTTTCCATCGATGACACATGACACAGTAGGTACAGTAGGTATCTTTGTTTCTAGTTTATTATTTGTTATTTTCGTTTTGAAATGTTCGAGCGGTTTGTATCATGGGTCGCGCTAGAAAAATAAATACCAACAACACAAAGTTAACTGTACTGAAAAATATTCAAGACATCGCATTTTTTGTATTAATAATTTGGAATCATCAAGCTAGCCTCACGTTAATTTTATATTTGTAGACTGACAGACGTTTTCATAAATTTGATCGGGAAATTAGCTCGGACGGCAGGTGTGTCCGATCCTATCTTACGTTGCCAGCGGACGTGGTTCAAAAGCTTCCTTCGCAATAAGCAACGATGACGACGTCAACATAAAAATTAGTTTTGCCATAGTGAAATTGCAATTGTAGTATCCCACCAAAATTGTGTTGTGTTAATTTTTTAAGGACAAAAGTACATTTTTATTTAAGAATGTTATTTTGTAGAAGACAATTTTTCATAGGCCGTGTGACAGAGTGTCAAAAGTTTTTTTTAAATTTGGATGAAGCAAATTTTTGGCTAAGTCGATTCATATATGTATTTTCCACCTTTTTTAAACAAATATGAAATGACAGCAATCGTTTCAATTTTTTAAGTTTTCGCAATCATTTCATACAAAAATATTTTTGCTTAAAGTTTTTGTTTATCTAAACATTGCTTTCATGACGGTGAACTTTCAGCGAAATTATTCCGGAGCAGAGTTTTTGAAGCTAGACTGTGAAGCAGTGCAGAAATTCGTCCAAGCGAATGATGCGTATCATCTGATGGAGCATGTTGCAAGCTGAGCTGTGAATACGTAATATCATTCTACTAATTATTCAAATATTATTTTAATAAATTTTCAAAATAAAGGAACACTGCAGCCTTTTAAGACCAAGAAGTACTCTTTATAAGTTCAACAAAAACTATTGAAAATTGCATTTTTAAAAAATACAAAGCCATTTTAAGCAACAACTCACTATCATCATCATCATCATCATCAACAACAACAACTTGTCATCATCACTGTGAACGTTTTCATTGTTATCATCATTTGTTATCATATCACAACTATCGATCATCGTCGTCGTCATCGTCATCATCATCAGTAATTTAACACGACAACCACTACCTGGCAAGACATGTTATTTAATACATATTTAATAGACCAGTAGTACAATATTTAAACGAATCTTTAAATTATGCAAACAAATATTCAACAACGACAATCAAACAACTGTTAACAAGCGCATTGACTCGTCATACATAACAGTAAAAATACTCAACAACAAGTAGTAACAATACAGTATAAATTGTATAAAAAAAAGAGGGACCCATTGAAAAGATAAAAAAATATTCGTCACATCTTTTGAATGTGAGCACGTTATCACACATACACACACACATGCACGCACACACACTCACATATATATGTATATATATATATATATAAATTATATATATATATATATATATAACAAAATATAATATATATTATATATAACTAATTGTTTACGTATTATTTAAAACTATTTTCAATCTGTCAACTTGAACCACTTTGCGGAGGTAGATGGTGAAATTAAGTCAAAAAAAGTACAATATTATAAAAGTTATCATATAAATGTAAATGAATAAATTATTCAAGTTCTTTTGTATTTTAACCAATGTTATGCTACATGCAGATTTATTTCAACAGATTTCCAACAAAAATGGTGTTTTAAGCAAATTAAAATTCAACGGCAAAACGAAAAAATATAAACATAAAGGAACAGTTTGTACACGCGCACACGCACGCACACAAACATACATACATACACACACACATACATACATACACACATACATATAAAAGTGTGTGAATGTGTGAACGAAATACATTGATAATGTAATATATAGATACAACATATATTACTATCATCGGATTAATGTTTATTTATAAAAACGTGATTATGGTTAAAAATGTCATTTGAAATGATTGTGCATATATAAATCCCTGATTAAAATAAGTTGAATACTAATTAAGATTGATCCTTTATAATTACGTAGAAGTCATTGTGGGCTATTGACACGAGACTGTAACGTTAGTAACCGATGAATGATGTTTGTGAAGAATGGACAAATGTTGGGAATGACACATCACGCAACCAGAGTAAACATTTTGTTAGATTTATCAATTGTTTAATTATTTTTTCGAATGGGACACACTTAAGGCTGAATTTAGTCTTCATAATTTAAACATTTAGCGCTTCTGACGCTTTGCACAGGGCGCCGTATATATTACAAATCATTAATACTATTACACATGATTACTGGAACGTTTTTGTAAGTACTATCCAATGAATTAAATACCTCCATTGTGCGGAAGATCAGGTTTGCACCGCAGATGGATAGGGTGTATAATTTATTCATTAAATTTTGGTTCTTTTATGTGTTGTCTATGTTGATTCCTCTATCTGGAATGATGGTTACTTATGTACTGACTGAGTGGATGGATAATTTATGAACCTACCGACTAAAAACTGTAAATATGAAATATACAGTTTAACGTATAAATAGTAGAGCATAAAAAAGGCTGTTTAATGATAAACATGAACTATATTAAAGTTTAATATAAAATGTTGTTTATGCCTAAAAATTGAGCTTTACATTTTTACCATAGTTCCGTCTTTTTTCCCTGATTTTAACATTTGTAAAATTCGGATAATTACATAATTATATTTCTACGTTTTGTGTCTCCATATTTAATTATCATTTTTTAGTTGACCTCTATTCCATCAAAAATAATGTTCTTCAGAATATTTCTGAATGCAGCGATAAAATAAAATATTTATATTTATTTTATATTTTCTATATTTTTAATAGTGGAGTATTTTTTCGCAGACATTTAAAATTTTGTTCACATACGTTATTATTTTCCATTAAAAATTCGTTTACTGAAAAATGACTTTATAAAATTTTTGTTGTTGTTTTTCCGGGGAGCTGTAATTAAAGTAGAAAAGTAACTCAAACTGGAGTTTCTGAATATGGCTCCTCCTCATCTTCTTCAACTAAAGCTCTGCCACTTTCCATGGTTTCCAGTCGGATTTCAACTTGTTCACGAGTTGTTTTCTTCTTACTTCTTTCAGTTGCTGATGTCGACGGTTTCTCGCTACTAGTTACTCTCTGCAAAGGTTCTTCGGCAACGTGGATTATCACCGACGAAGATGATATTTCGCCTCCAACATCAACTTTTGTTGACGTCGACGCTTCACCTTTTTTCAATGTTTCACCCTTTAGACTTTTTAAATATTTTATGTGGCTTTTAAGATCTTCTTCGATAAGTTCTAATTTAGCCTTTGTGAATTCTTTATCCGTCAATATATGTTCCGATGTTAGTCCCTGCAAAAATGATACAATGTTTTCTTTTGTTTTTTCTATCGTTACCATATTCCTAGACATGTCTTTTGCTAATTCATTAATGGTTGATTCAAAACTTTCAACAAATGTCTTGAAATTTGCATCTGATTCCAATTTTTTAACGTTGTTGCCGTAACTAATTAATCTTAACAAATGCGATAAACTGGTAACACATTCTTTGAATCTACCAGCCAAACCACCGTTCCTAATCATCGATAAATCTGGAAAATATGCTTTCGTCAAAATCAAGTTATTTTTAAAAGTCAGCTCTCGCGCTTGTTGATAATAACTTACAATGCTTTCCCTCACAGTTTCTAATTTGTTATAATTGTGGCTTAGAAAGTGATCGATATGACTAATTTTTTGAAGGACATCAAACATGTTAGCACAACTGGTCTGCACGCTTTCTGGCGAAAATTCTTTGAGAATAAAGTTGCTATCAATTAGGTATAAATTTGTTACGTACGGAATTCTAGAAAGTACTAAAGTTTCTAATACTGCATCTTTAACATGAGTTTCCTGCAATTTAATTGCCCATTTTTTTCCAGAAAAATATTTTACTACGTTAAAAATTGAAACCGCTTTTTCATCACACCAAACCAAAGATGTAACTTGAGCAATACTTAATATAGTAGAGCCGAGAGTAGTTGCAGCATGTTTTGAGCATTTTCCAGATTTAGGCATTTGAAGACACAAGCTAAAAAACAATCTTTCAACTTTTTTCAAAATCATGAAAACATTAGTCTTAGTTTTACTGCGTGTATCTTTTGCTCTGGTCGTTTCTGTATAATTAGTTGAGCTAGTTCCATTTGGCCTGGCGTGTTCGTGTGCATATACACCGTTGTCAGTTCTGTACTTGTAACTCAAAACGTGGTAGGTTGTTATATCTCTGAAGACTATCGACGTTTTCATGGTTTTTAATATTTGAAACAAACATGCAATATCATTTTCTTCTTTCCAAAATCTTTGATCTATTATTTCTCCCAGCTTGTCTCTTTCTTCTTTTCTTCTGTAAAGTGAATTGTGTTATGTGAAAATTTTATCTAACCAACAACCGATTAAAACAAAAATTGAATTAATTTTCAATTCATTCTGTTCATTAAATCAAACATAAATTGCATTATTCAATGCTATCTCAAAAATTAAATTTGATGAAATCACGTTTTTTAATAGGCAAATTTAAACAAAAAACAAAAATGTATTTATTATTTTTATACCAAAACTTGAAGTTTTTGTTTATGATAAGGATCTAGATTTAAAATCATTTCTTCAGCAAAATAAAAAGTTGCGAGAAGACTTAAACTTACGTTTGCGATTGGCGTCCAAAAAAAATGCAACATTAATTCGAATTATACAAAGTAGTCCATTGAAAGTTCGAAAGTTCCAACTTATCAATTGAAGTAGAACGATTTTAAATGACAAATTTAATAAAGTCTCAAAAAAAGAATAAAAAAGTTTTATTATTATTATTCTTTTTGTTGCAATTATTCTTTTTGTTGCTATTACTATTATTATTATTTATATTATTATTATTGCTATTATTTGAATTAATGCGGAACCTGAAATATCGGAGTGCCATCCACATAAGGCACATGACGACCAGACAGATTAGCAGCATGTTGATGGTGGCATAAAAGGCTGCAGCCCTTATGAACAAGCTGGCATCCCCTGATCGCTCATACAGCAGCATTCCTGTTTCGTTTGATGAAATCGTCACATCCGCTCCCATCATCAACTGCTGGTCCATACGAAGAAATGAAAATGATTGATTAAAAATAAATTATACAAATAATTGTTGCTAATGAATTTCATTTTTAGTTAGTGATTAAACAAAAACTAGTAAGAGCAAAATTTTGGAAAAGGCTTTCAAATTCAATGAAGTCTAACGCATCAGCTTCAAGAACTATTTTTATTTTACGAGTTATTAATTAAATAAATCATTTAAAAAAAGCCAAAATTTGGTTGAATATCAGTGTTCCCCTAATATTCCGTAGCGACTTGATTTAGTGACATTTAAAATTATGATAAATATACTACATAAAAACATGTTTGGTAAAAATTTTCACAACAGATTTATCAATTGATTTTCAGTTATGGTTAGCAAAATTTCAAACCAAACATCAACTTTTGTATAAAATAAATCTGAAGTTTTAATAAATAAATATGCGGTGAAAAATATTTATTGGCAATTTTTCAATGAAGAAACATAGTGATGTCTTAGTTTTTTAAATATCATATAAAGAAACCTGTGTGCGTGTGTGTGTGTGTGTGTGTGTGTGTGTGTGTGTGTGTGTGTGTGTGTGTGTGTGTGTGTGTGTGTGTGTGTGTATAGCTTGTATCATACCCAGTTTTATTGTTCAGTCAACTTGTAGGTTTTCATATGTGCACTTTTTCTTCTTAAAATGTACTGTCAGTTATTATTATTATTATTAGATTTATAAAGGGCTTTTATCGAAAACCCTCAAAAGCGGTGCTATTTTAATATCCATAACTTTTGCCATCTTTTTACTTTTCAGGTCTTTGATGGCTTAACTGCTTAACCTCAGCTGGATTGTTGCTGTCAAATTTCCAATCACTAATGCAGACGAACTCCAGAAACCTTCACTAACGATCGAACAGAAAAGTTGTGATCATTTTAAAGACAAAATGAATTTGTTTTTGATCAAAATCCACACTAAAATTTTTTCAAAAAAAAAGAACAACAGTATGCTGTCTCCATATTGACCAATTTTATGCAGTATGTTCCTCGGATACGAAGTACCACGGACATGAAGTACCACGGATATAAAGTACCAGAGTAGGCGGTAACAAAATTTTACTATAATTTGGAAGCTCAGTTTAATTATTTGTTCTCTGTTTTATGTACATTTTCAAGCTGATGAGCACTAGTAATTTCAT